TAATAGAGCTTGCCCTATAACACAATTACAGAAATCAGTATCCATGACCTTTCTGGGGACTTCATTTAGCACAATCTGCGTGTAAGTGCGTCACTCTCTAAGACAACTGTCCCCAAGCATTGCTCCCATAATAAAAGAATCTTAATTCTATAGCTCTTACATTCAGGCCCTGTTTTTTCATAAACATTGCTCTGCAGTAATACTTCTTACATTTAAAAATAAAACCCAAGATGAAGAATTTTCTTCAACTGTTGCTTCTACTTAGGCCTTCACATTTGCTCTCTGCTTACACTCACATGGTTATTATATGATCCTGATTCTCAGTGGAGAAAAGATGGCAAACAACTGTAGAGTACATCTTGAGTCAGGCATAGATTAACATACATACATACATACATAGGGTGTATCTTTACATTGCTGCTTGTCAGAGTCATATACAGTTCTTGTACCCTACATTGTGTCTCCCTAAATGTATTTAGCCAGCACTTGTTCTGTTGTTGTGCTTCTCTTTGTCATTGTTGTAGTAGTGTGTTGATGCTGGTTGGTGTGGTATTTGCACTGCTTTACTTTGATTGAATGGTTTGGTAAAAAGACAGTGATAAGTGCTTTATTTATTCAAAGTGGACTATTTTCACCTCACAGTGACCAGAAAAAAAGCCAATCACTCAGCGTGAAATAGATACTTAATGCTCCACCAGTTGGAGATTTGAAATACACTGCAGAAAAATTTCAAAGCTTAGAAAAAAATGCTTTTGTCAACACATCCTTATGGTGACAATGAAACATTTAGCTGAAGACTATTTAACATTGCTGTTAAGTGTGGTCCTTTAGAAGTCCTGCATGATAAATCATAGGCTAGAGAGCGCTTTTGCATAGAAGCAAATACAATGATAAGAAGAGATCCAGCGAATCAAACAGGTTTAACCAAAAACAAAATCAGCTCAAAGAAGGATTTATTTTAGATCCTCCACTGAAGTTGAAATGCAGAATTTTCTCATACTTTTCAGATGTAGCAGCAACATAGACAATATAGAGCTGAAGTTCACTGAGAATTGGCGCAAACAGCTGTCAAACTGCAAATCTTCTATTTCAGCATCAATTAAATCGTCAACCATTTTTGCATTTTCTAGTCAACGAACTATGGACCTGTAAAGTAAACATTTCTCTATCGGAAAGATGGAGCTGGATATTTGTAGCTGATTGTGGAACAGGCTTTACTGACAAAAAAGCCTTTTTAATAATCCTGTAGCCTTAACCCTTAGGGTGATTCGCACCAACTAATCTGCTGTATACAATGACTAAATTGGCAATACAAACATGCTTAGAAAAGTGAATGTTAAATGTAATTTTAATATGATAAATGACCGTATTGACAGTGTTTATTTATCAATTATTTAATTATAATTAGTATTATTATAAAAGATATAGCATTTAATGCAAGCACAGATTTTGCTTGAATGGTAAAAGATAGAACTGCCAAACAAAAATGTACAGTAGGTTCCATAAAATGTGTTATGTTTTTTACAAGTTTTTTATGCTTATTAAAGCTTCATTCATTTAAATATATATATATATATATATATATATATATTTATATTTTTTACATTTTTGAATGTTTTTAGTGCCACACAACACTTCAGAAATCATTCTAATTTGGTGCTCAGTTATTAATAATCATGTTTCTTTTTTATCAGTGCTGAAAACTATTTACTTGTATGGAAAATGTGGTTATTTCCATTATTTTCAGGTACTGTATATAAAGACGTTTGGCCCACTTGTGAAATTTTTTATACATTTGTTGTTTCACTAGTGTTTGCCATTTCTCCCTAAATGTATTTAGCCAGCACTTGTTCTGTTGTTGTGCTTCTCTTTGTCATTGTTGTAGTAGTGTGTTGATGCTGGTTGGTGTGGTATTTGCACTGCTTTGCTGTGATTGAATGGTTTGGTAAAAAGACAGTGATAAGTGCTTCATTTATTCAAAGTGGACTATTTTCACCTCACAGTGACCAGAAAAAAAGCCAATCACTCAGCGTGAAATAGATACTTAATGCTCCACCAGTGGGAGATTTGAAATGCACTGCAGAAAAATTTCAAAGCTTAGAAAAAAATGCTTTTGTCAACACATCCTTATGGTGACAATGAAACATTTAGCTAAAGACTATTTAACATTGCTGTTAAGTGTGGCCCTTTAGAAGTCCTGCATAATAAATCATAGGCTAGAGAGCGCTTTTGCATAGAAGCAAATACAATGATAAGAAGAGATCCAGCGAATCAAACAGGTTTAACCAAAAACAAAATCAGCTCAAAGGAGGATTTATTTTAGATCCTCCACTTAAATTGAAATGCAACATTTTCTCATACTTTTCAGATGTAGCAGCAACATAGACAATATAGAGCTGAAGTTCACTGAGAATTGGCACAAACAGCTGTCAAACTGCAAATCTTCTATTTCAGCATCAATTAAATCAATTGATGAAAAAAATAATTTTTGCATATCTAGTCAATGAACTATGGACCTGTAAAGTAAACATTTCTCAATCAGAAAGATGGAGCTGGATATTTGTAGCTGATTGTGGAACAGGCTTTACTGACAAAAAAGCCTTTTCAATAATCCTGTAGCCTTAACCCTTAGGGTGATTCGCACCCTCTAATCTGCTGTATACAATGACTAAATTGCTCATTGGTGAATGTTTTTTTGCTATTTCTTTGGAGACTAAAAATCTGCGGATTTATGTGGAATGATTTTGGGAGTATTGTAACTAAGAACGTAATTTACAAAATAAAAAATAACACCTTTTTGACTTTTATTTAATTTTTACAATGCAAATTATCAATTATCAATTTTACAAATTTTACAAATTATCAATTAGGATCACTTTTTTGGTAAACAAAGCAAGTCTCTCATATAATATATCTACTGGAAGACAGAAAATATTACTTTACAAACTGTATTATAAATAAATCATATAAACATTTTTATTTTAGTCAATATTATCACAAAAAAAAAAAAAAAACTGAATTAATACAAATTTAAACATTTACACAAGTAAATAGATAGACTCAGTGATGGGCTAAAAATCTGCGGATTTCTGTGAACCGCTGCTCTAAAACAGTGAAGTTTAGAGGCTTTTGCCAACAAACTGTTATTTCTGAATGTGCTGACGCTGGGATTAGGATCAGTAGAAGCAAATCTATTTGTTGAATATGTACTACGTGCCAAAAGCATTCACTCAATGTCATCATATAATTTTTGGCAGAAGGGGCGTTTATTTTCAATATTATTATTTTGAATATTATTTTCATTTTAAATAACCTTTTTCTTCTGTAAAATATTTTAAACTTAATTTGATAGAGTTATGGCAAAGCTGGATTTTTAGCATAATTAGTCCAGTCTCCAATATCAAATGAACCTGAAGAACCTGTATATATTCTTTCTGAAGTGTTTGTTTTGAAAGGCAGCACCTATAGTCATAGAGGTTATGTATTAAACAATGTCATTTCTCTCATTAATCTTCAATTAATGAGAAACAATGTGCCTAACCCCTTGATGGTCTAAAACAGGGGTGCCCAAACTTGGTCCTGGAGGGCCGGTGCCCTGCAACCCCAACTAACCACACCTAAACCAGCTAATAAAGCTTTTTTTAGGTATACTAAAACTACCATGCAGGTGTGTAGAAGGAAGTTGGAGCTGCAGGACAATGGCCCTCAGGAACCAAGTTTGGGCACCCCTGGTCTAAAGTGACTGCTGATAAGATCTTAATCAAGTCTTGAACTTTTGTTTTCTTTTTGACACAATCTTTTGACTACTATCTCTGTATAAATATCTGGCTTGATTGAGACACAAAATATGTTTTTGTTGTTTTTTTTTATCACTGCAGGGCTTATTTCTTGAAAACCTCACCACTGTTGGGATATTACAAATTTTATTCTGAGCCTCCTCCTGACCTTCCACTCAAATACAGTCTCCGTACAAGACAGTCACAGTGAAACTGACAGAAGCCTTGTTCTATCATCGTCCCTCTGTGGTTTATCATAGTCTGCAAAATTCATTAAATAATACTTTGTGAGATGTCAACTTTCAGTTTCCTTCCCACCCTTTCATACAGACAAATGTATTTATTTTTTGTAAGTTTTTAATTTGCTTAGAAGGTTATTTTCTAATTAAATCAGAAGTGTGACGGATTGGTTTGTCGCAGTGTTTAAAACAGTTTGTTGTTTACAGTTTTTGAAAACAAAATGATCTTCAGAAGTGAGGCAATGAAGCGTGTCCAATTTATTCACCAAACTAAATACGTTGCGTGTCCTTCTTTTTGGCACTCAAAGATGAAAGGGACAAAGATGCATCTGTTACAGAGGACAAACTATTCAAAGACTTCTTGAAGTTTCAACATATAAGTCATATTTCTGTGTTCTATCAAATGAACAATTTGTATTTATCCTTTCCAAACTAAAACTGAAAGGGAAGAAGGGAATTGGATTTCACCTTCTTTCTTGTCATTGACTTTCCATTTAGAAAAGAAAAAAGAAAGAAAACCCCGTTCTAATAAAAAATAAACAACACCCTATGATAAAATCTTCACGATAACATCTTCAGATAATACCCACTGATAACACCTACAGATAACATCAATTTTTACCACCTGTTGATAAAACCTGGTAATAACATTCAATAGATCTGTTCCATCCAGCTGAGCGCTGTTAAGTATTAAACCCAGCTGTAAACCCATCTCACATTCATGAATTTACTCACCTTTGTTTTTAGATGAGTACTAAATGAAACTGATAAGTACTTGCAAAAAAACATAACAAATGAAATCTCTGAACGGAAAGTCACACTCTCACCTTGTTTGTTTAGAACAGAAAAGTTACACTACAGTTTTCAACACAGCAAACAGTAATCAGCCTTAAATGATTATTTATTCATGTTTATCCTGTAAGCAATTCACAAATATGTTCAAAGCAACAGGGACAGAGAAAAGGAGAACAAACGCGATACTCACTGCACTCTTTTGATTCCTGGACCCTTGTTTTCATGAATGCATCAAATAGATGGGGCCAACCACTGTTATCCACTGCAACACACACACACACACACACACACACACACACACACACACACACACACACACACACACACACACACACACACACACACACACACACACACACACACACACACACACACACAGACACAGACACAGACACACACACACACACACACACACACAGACACACACACAGACACACACACACACACACACACACAGTTTTATGGATATATAATGGGTGGATGTCTGCAAAGCTGTATTAGCGGGTAACATCTTAGAAACACTTAATGGAACATATATTCACTACTATCCTAATAGATACTACACTACACTAGACCGACATAGACCTGTTGGCTAAAACAAGGCTGAATTTTGACTGTCAGTGAAAATGTTATAGATTTTAAATATGAAAAGTTCAAAACTAGACTCGTCATCAAGTAAACATCCTTAACAGACTTCACATGTAGACATTCATTCCAGTTTATTTGATAACTAGTCTATCTTTGGACTGTTGTTAGATGTATATTAGATTTTTACTGACACCCAAAATATCTACAGTTGGTGAGAGTTCAAAGTGGCAATTACCGCCGGAGCATATACTGCCGCCGTTTAATATTGCTGCCTCTCTGTTTTTAGTGTATGACCGCAGTTTGTGAATAAGCCGCCAGGGGGCACAAAGGGACGGGATGCGAACGGACAGAAATAGCCTATACTATGAGGTGCCGTATAGGATTTAAATCAAACTTTGCTTATCAACACATACATAAAACATGTGTATATACACCTATAAATTACTTGCATATACACCTATACTACTGGATGTTCAAAACAACATGGATAAAACTTGTGTATATACATATAAACTTGACGCATGAATACACCCACATACACACGCACATACATATAAACTCGATCCTCACATAAACACCCACATTAACACACGCACATACATATAAACTTGCTGCATGCAAACACACCTATACACACTTGCATATACATATAAACTCGATTCTCACATAAATACCCACATTTACATGCACATACATATAAACTCACAGCATGCAAACACACCTATACATACTCACATATACATATAAACTCGGTCTATGCATATACACCCTCTACAAGACACGCACATACACAAACTCACTGCATGCAAACACACCTATAACATCTTGCGCAAACATACAAAAAAAATAAATAAATAAATTTCACAAACATTTATCAAGAATCTGGTTATTGCAAAGCTTATGAAATAGAAATAATGTGATTAATAGAGGGATTAAATATGTTAAATTATGAACATATGTTATATAAAATATTAGTCTATATAAATAGACTATTCAAAATAAGAAATATTTTTATTTAAAACCTTTTCATTTAATTAGGTAATTACATACACAAATATAAATGGACAGATAGAACCCTTAAAGGACGTTCAAAAAGCAACCAGAATTATAAATATAAATGTATACTCAAACTAAACTCCTCTTTTCTATTGCAAATGTTAATGTAGCCTATAGTCTTCTTGTTTTGTTTTTTTTACATTTTTATAATTATTATGCTTTTTATATGTTTTTACAATGTGGGTGTCAAAATTGCAAGATTTTGGTATAATTTTGATTGTTAATTATTCAGCATATACAAAAAAAAAAAAAAAAAAAAAACGCTGATTAAAAGTCTCTGCTCATCATGTTGGTCAAGTTAACCCCCATGGAAAAGCTATATATATTATCTGGACTCTCCTTTTGTGTTTAATAACTACTACTTATATTTTAACAGCAGCTGGCATCCAGCATTTTGGTGCATTAGCCTGTTTATTGGTGACAGGAAAACCCACTTAAGTGCATTCCTGCCCCCTACTGGACATAATTGTGTATCATAACCCTTGACAAATAGTGACACCAATAATAAAACAAACATAAAAAACTAATATTAGACAAACATATTTTATTCAAAATGATTACTTAAGCAACCTTATATTTATTAAACCATAATAACATTTCCAATAATTTAATTGCATAATAAACCTTTAATTTTGCAGGAGCATTCCTTTGCATTACCTTTTTATTTATTTATTTTTTAGAATTAGCATAATCTATTTTCATATTTCAACAGATGTAATTCCTCTATTAATCACATTATTTCTGTTTCTTAAGGTTTGCAATAACCTGATTCATGACAAAAAATAATCTTGTTCATTTCACTCAAAGGACTTTTACATTGGAATTAAACGACTTCCTTTTAAAGTGAAATAACTTCCTTTTACTGTGAAAATTCATGCATACACACATATGAAATCACTTGCATATATGTATATACACAACTAACTGTATATATGTTTGTGAATTTTATTTTGTATGTTTGCACAAGTGTCATTTGGGTGTTTATGCACACATCAAGTTTATATTCTTATGTGAGAGTTTATGGGTGTATCTGCATAGATCAAGTTTATATGTATATGCAAGTGTGTATAGGTGTGTTTGCATGCAGCAAGTTTATATGTATGTGCGTGTGTTAATGTGAGTGTTTATGTGAGGATCGAGTTTATATGTATGTGCGTGTGTATGTGGGTGTATTCATGCGTCAAGTTTATATGTATATACACAAGTTTCATCCGTGTTGTTTTGAACATCCAGTAGTATAGGTGTATATGCAAGTAATTTATAGGTGTATATACACATGTTTTATGTATGTGTTGATAAGCAAAGTTCGATTTAAATCCTATACGGCACCTCATAAGATTAAACAATAAGTCAAAGCATTATAATTCCTTCATTAATAATTTAAAATTTGTCAACACACTTTATTGTAAACTTGTTAAGCGCAAAGAGGACTCGTTTTGGAAAATAGAATTGAAGAAATAAAAGACAACTAAAATGAAAGCACAAACATTCAGTACAAATAAGTATTCTTAAATAAAGAAATAAAGCAGTCTTTTAGCCTAAATATAGAGAGATGTTCAGTGTTTGCGGTATGTGTCATGTTTATTATACACCTAGTAAAAAAAGCTTGCTGCATAGTTGTTTATTAGCAGGCACATGTCTATTATAGTGGTCATCAGCACATTAATATCTTAATGTGCTTTATTTGCTTTCACACCAAATTTTAAATGATTGATTACCTTTAGCTGGAGTTGCAATATTGCTACCATTAAGCTACACATCACAGTTTATGATATGGTTATTACTCAAAACCCTTTTAACAACATCATTGAGTGCTTGAAATGAATTACAATTGCACTCTAAAATGAACTTTGACTATATAATGGGCAGGCATGCATTATTTGTAGTGTTTTAACATTTAATATCCTTTAATACAGGACATGATTGACGTATTTTTTTCTGTTTGGCTTCATTTATCACCTGTAGTCAAAGTTCAGTATAATATGTTGTATAATTAAATATAAAGTAAACAATAAATCCGTTGTCAGTGATACTGTACAGAACTGATTAAAAAACAACATCCATTTTGTATTGCCTTTACAAAACAGAACAACATATTACTTTATAAAACAGCAGTGGCTTTGAACATGTGATAAAAAGTCTAATTTGACTTTAAATTTGTATTGCTGGGTATTGAATTAATCAATACACTAAAAAAATCACTCTTACATTGTCATGCCACCATTTATCTCCGACAGTTTTAATAGCTTCTCTGCAATTCTGAACTTCGTCCTGTAGTACATTTGCATTGTTTAATAACATTTATTCTGCATTGCCATACTCTAGGTAACCATAACTTGTTAAACACAACTAGGTAAACACAACTTCTACGACAACTACCATAGCTACTTTCATTAGCAGTAATTAGGTGTTTCCTGAGGAAAACTTTGTACACGTAGTTAACGAATAGGGGTCTTCTGGTTTTGATTTGAGAGAATAGCATGCACTTTATGACGGCTTTGTTTAAAAAATATTGATAGAAATTCATCAGAACATCTCTTTAGTAAGTGTACACTCAAATAATATTCCAGTCCCACATTTCAGAAACTCCCAGCAGGCACGCAACGTCATATGACATAGGTATTTGGTTATATTTTGGTTGCGAAGTCAGCGGAGCAAAATCCAATGTCAGTTTAACGTGAAATGACATCAAGAAATTCATACAATGTCAGAATAACATCAGTAGACGTTGATCTTTAGTTGATTTTAGGTTGTGGTCGTCCAAAATTATCTTAACGTCATAATGTGATGTCCACACAACATCAAAGTCTATCATTAGTAGTCATTGATCTTTGGTTGGTTGAAATTTGTGGCATTAACAGCCCAAAATCCATTATCATATTAATGTCATAATGTGATGTCCATACCACCTCAAAGTGTAACTTCAGTAGACATTGATCTTTGGTATGTGTCTTTTGTTACTGATCTTTGGTATGCTACCAAAATCTAACGTCCTGATGACACTGGGGTACATTGTACATCTGACGTCATAATGATGTCCTGTGCCTTCAGGGCTGCTAGTTGACTTCAGGATTTAACCCTATACCGCATGGTGTTGCCATATGCCAACATGATTTTTATGTTCATTTCCCTGCCACTGTTTCTTTAAGACCGATGTTCTAATTTTTCTGTTGGAAAGAGAAGACCTTAGTTTAGCCAAATGATCTGCTTTGATTAAGTCACATGATGTGCAGGGTTTTTCTGACAGACTTCCGTTTATTGTGAGTAATTGCTGAATGCGCATGTAAACGTCAATAAAATGAGTAAAGGATTAACTCATATCATCCACAAAAAGACATCATTTTCAGTAATTTATGATGACATAGTGACAACCCAAAAAAAGTTTTTATTAAATTAGTTTTTTTGTAAATGGATCAAATTTATGTGCTGACAAATGGCAACACTGAGCAATAGTTGAATGTGCATTATTGCAATGGGTTAGCTAGCTAGCAAGGACAGCTGTGATCGTTTAAGTTATAACAATAACAACATTAATGCTATAATATAATGCTGCGTCGTATGTTATCAACATTTGCATTATGGATAAAATCTCATTTTAATGGCAATACTTTTAATCAGAAATAAATACACGGAACAGTGTATTAGTGAGGAATAAATAAAATATATACTGTATGAAATAAATAAAAGCTGTTGGAATAACAGTTGTTGGAAAGTATGTTTAAGGTTTCATTTATAAATTGTGTTAAAGCTTATAATACTGCAACACCAATTAAATCAAAACAAACAACACAATTATTAATTATAAGGAAATTTATACTGTAAATTAAAAGTAGATCCACTAATAGACATTAGATCCACTATTGGACATCGATGCATTTGGCAACATGTCATAAAGTAGTTTTAAAAAAAATTCCCCATTTCTTTTTTTACAGCACTTCAAGTTCAGCCATTCTAAGAAAAGAAAACCAGTCAAAAAAGATGTATAGATCTATTATAATGTGTGCAGTAGAGGGTTAAATTCTGAAATTAAAGTCATGATGGACGATCACAAAGTATAACTAACAAGCTTAGTCCCACTGGTTTCACTTTAGATGGAACAAGATTTGGGGAAGCTAAAAAAAATAGTAAATATGTATTCCCTAATCTAAATTGTTACCAGTATACTGTATGCCTGTGCATATATGCACTATAAATTATTATCTTTGTAAGAGAGAGTATGTGTCACAGTCTTACCGCAGTTCTCCTCGTCTGCTCCATTTGGACAGTCCTGCTGCCCGTTACAGTGCTGTGGTTGAGGCAAACACACTGACAGATTCCCGCATGGAAACTGACCCAATGGACACATGTCAGAACCTGAGGAATCTACATACAAACAAACACACACATTCACTGAAACATGTCAATGCAAAAGTCTGCTAAGGCGAAGGTTTGGGCTTTCCTTTATGCCAAGCTGTCAGGGGAAAAATGCAAAGCAGTATACAAAATGTGCAAAATAGCTCAAATGAACACAGTCGCTATGAAAATGAGCAAATATGCCTTTCAGAATTAATAAAATTCAACTGAGAGCTGCATCCCAAATGGCCCCGAGTCAATCAATCAGCCTGCAAAACTGGTTCACCCATCGCATTACACTGAATGAATAAGGGCACATCCACACAACAGCAGAATAGAGTTGTCAGCCCTGTTGTCGCCCCTGAGTCAATAATGCACTTGCGTTCACATGCAGTTCAGTTATTTAGTGGAGTGATGACTGCATTCTCTGACTCAACTCAGAACTGTCAATCACAACTATACTTTCAGTGAAACCCTGCTGGGTGAATGGAATCAGACTGGACAACTAGTTATTTGTCATGTCATAAAACTATCCTTCAAATTATACCACCATATAGACTGCTTGTTTGTCAGTTTCCTTTAGCATGACCTAGGAGACTAAAATAGTTAAAACTGATTGTATTTTTTTGCCATGTGAATTGTTAAATAACTGGTGTACTTCCCTTATGTTGTTTTGCAAAAGAATTTGCACATTTAGTGATATTAAGACACATTAAAAACCCTGTCATGGACGAATATTTTCCTGTATTACTTGTTTTTCTATATTCAAATTTATTTATATTCTTTATTAAAGTGTATTTCTCATCGTATCAATTATTCTTCAGTTGCATTTGTGCATCAACAACAATTTAATTTGTTCTTATGTTACGAACAATTTGTCCGTATGTCATTATTTAGTTTGATATTTCACAAATAGTTAAAGCAAATAGTACTGAAGTCTTTTTGAAGTGTCAACAAATATCATTTTGCTGGCTAAGAGTATCGATATCATATCATATTATCACAAGAAGTTTGTTTACACTCCTTGTCCCTACCACGTAAGACATATGACTTCAAAAAAGATAATGTCTAGAGCTTTGTTTGGTTTTTAATTTTGGCTTAAATGTTTTATAATGTTTTGATAAACTTTATTGAAAACAGTGACATCACAATATCTTCATAAAGATTTGATTCTTTTTTTAAATCATTTTCTTTTTTATTGTAATATGAACAGGGCCTCATATTTGGAGCTCAATTAAAGCCTCGTGCCTTCTCTCTTCGGGGGTTGATAGCTCTGGCCCCCCGCTTCAGCACAGCAATGCCAAATTGTTTACCATGTTGATGAAATCGATTGTGCAGATGAACTGGTCAAACAATAGTAAGCACACCATCTAGTTTAAACACACTAGTAAGCACACTTGTTGAGCACTTCGCTAAGCACACTGTCAATTTCCTTAGTGAATTCTGGTAAAACTTGTCTATTATATGCATTATTAATTTTAGGCAGCTGCTAAAAAGAAAAAAAAAGAAATGCATATACACTCAACATCAGACAATGCACAGCTTATTTATCCAGAACATCTATGCAGAACAATAAATAAACAATCAATAACCTGTCATCTTCATATTTAAATAGCATTAGCCACATTAAAGACAAGTCAAAAGTGAAAGGAAAGTTGATCAAGAAATAGCATTAAATTGGCTACATTAAAGTATATATATATATATATATATATATATATATATATATATATAGTGTAATACTTATACAATACAAAGTTATATTTTCTAAAAATGTACAATGCAACAATGCCCATTAAACTTTTTCAGATCATGTGTTTTTGTTCAGTGAAATTAACATATCAGTGTTCTACAAGAAGACCACATGTCAACTCCTGGCCTTATTAATGCACTCGGTCGATAACAAGAGAAAGCACCTGGACAGCCGATACAGAGTGAGCAGTGGTCCACACATGCCAATGAAGAGACTGATCCAAGGGCACCTCAGCATTGTCAACGACATGCTGTCTGGCTCTGTTACCACTTCTGAGGTAGGGGAATAGATGACCCTTCCAAAGAGAGCTCCAGTTCATTTCCATTCACAGACTCTCTATTATCATCGGCAATGAAAGCTCTTGCGTACGTGCACATCTTGCTTATGTACTTATTGAACTCATCAACTGACACAAATGCTTGTGAGGTCTGAGGTAGATTCTAACCTGATTCGCTTTTAAAAACAAGCTTTCAATTCAATTCAAGCATTTAATTGTAACTTTACATTTAACATTAAAATGTTGGTGATTTGAACAATTTAATGTCGTGTGGTTGACTACTGTTTTGAGTGTCGACTAGTAGGATCTATACTGTTTATTTTTAGTCAACTAGTCAACAAGACTTGCGCTTCACTAATTCTGTATAATTGTTTAGTGTTCATCAACGTTCGAAAGACCCACCAGAGCAATCGCACCAGAGTTTATTTTAATCCAACCAAACCTTTGAACATCCTTAGTCACGATCACTGTGGTCACAGGTTGCAAAGAGTTCGTGAAAGTGAATAGAGCTTTGACTTCAAGTGCACACTCATACTCGAAAGCACTCAAACCTCTATTAGCTGCAATGTCTTCAGTCAGTGCATTTCAAAACTGAGACATAAATAAATATGGCTTTCTGTTCCAAACACTGACCGAGTGAACCTAAACCTACTGTCCTTTATTTAAAGTTTAAAAATGAGCCTGTTGTGCAGCGTTGTGTTTACTTTAAATCTTCTCCTTTTCTTTAGTGAATGTGGTAAAGGCCTATAGGTGATGCACATCTTTAAAGGGTAAGTAAACATATTTTAAAACTTGCCAATCGCAAAATAGACATCTCAGGAAAAGCAACTTTTGTCTATCTGGTGTAGCACAGTGGCAAGGCTGCAAAACGACAGATGACATTCATATTAAAGTGATTGTGAACCAGAAGTTGCCACAACGTTTATTTTAGCATGTTAATGTACATTTAAATCAAACTAAAAATTGAGCAGGGGTGGGTATATCCTACCTGATATATACACAACCTGATAAAAGTCTTGTCTATTCAAGTTTTAGAAACAACTAGTATTAACTTGATTTCTAGTTGATCATTTGGTATAAGAAGTAGCTTATATGAAAGGCAAAGGCCTCAAGATTACACTTATTTTACCAGAATAAAATATGATCATACCTTGATTTTTAATTATTTATTTAGAACATTAGGTCTGACTTTGCTTAGACAAAAGTCTTGTCATTTAACAGAAATAATGTACAGTATAGAATATGAAGTCATGGCGCAGTGCAAAAAGAATTACTATTGTGTCTGACTTCTATGAGCTTGGAGGACTGCATCCATACATCTCTGCAATGACTTAAATAACTTGGTAACACTTTACAATAAGGTTCATTAGTTAATGCATTTACTAACATGAACTAATCATGAACAACACATGTACAGCATTTATTCATCATAATTGAACATTTACTAATGCATTATTAACATCCAAGTCCATGCTTGTTAACATTAGTTAATGCATCATGAGTTAACATGAACTAACAATGAACTACTGTATTTTCATAAACTAACGTTAACTAGCATGAACAAATACAGTAGTAAATGTATTGTTCATTGTTTGTTCATGTTAATAAATGCATTAATTGACATTAACTAATGGACCTTATTGTAAAATGTGACCAATAACTTATTAATAAAGTCATCTGGAATAGCAAAGAAAGTGTCCCCAGACATGCGCAATAATGTTTATGTCTGGTGACTGGGCTGATCAATCCTGGAGAATCTTCATCTTCTTTGCTTTCAAGAACTTTGATGTGGAGGTTGAAGTATTAGAAGGAGCGCTATCCTGCTGAAGAATTTGCACTCGTCTGTTGTTTTGTAATGTAATGGGCAGCACAAATGTCTTGATACCTCAGGCTGTTGATGTTGTCATCCACTCTGCAGATCTCTCACGTGCCCCCAAACTGAATGTAACCGCAAATCATGATTTTTCCTTTACCAAACTTGACTGATTTCTGTTAGAATCTTAGTTCCATGCAGGTTCCAATAGGTCTTCAGCAGTATTTGTGATGATTGAGATGCAGTTCAACAGATGATTCATCTGAAAAATCTACCTTCTGCCACTTTTCCAAATGATCAACTAGTAGTCAGTTTATGATTTGTTACTCTTACAACAGGAATCAACTAAAAGACTTTTGTCTGGCAGTGTAGCAAACTAATGTTAAGAGGGTATTGTGGTTGGTGGTATTGTGGCTGAAGCCATCAAACTGAAGTCAACAGAGAAAGATCGCCACTCCAAATGTAGAAGCAACTGGTCAGAAATTTTTAAAGTTACTAAAACAAGTTTTTTCAGATGATTAACTTAATTGCTCACCTAAAGAATAACAATGTGCACTTGCAAAATAAACATTGTACATTTTGATATTGGACTTTAAGAGCTAGTCAACTAAGAAACTAAACTCTTAATGAGTAAAAAAAATATACTCCTATGAGTATGAGTTAAAATATGGCTGTTTAATATGAGTAAGAAGTAATGAGAGCTAGGTGTGCTTTGATTCTATGGGGAACAGTAAATGTAAGACCTGTTAATCCTAGCAATCAATCTAATATAAGTAAGTTCCTGCTGTAAAATAGTTGCAAGTTAGTATTTAATCATTGGACCTGGAATCCAATCTGTATTAGTAGAACTTTCCAATGGACTCAAATGGCATGATAAAACATCAATCAACACGACCAGATCCCAGATGTCCTATAATGCTACTCCATGAAGATTATCTCAAGATGTGTGCCTGGTTGTGATGTGTTTGTGCTTGTTGAAAGAAGAACACTATAGACATATGTGGTCTAAAATTATTTACTAATGATTGGTGAAACTACAAACCAAAATGCGACCAAAACCTATACTTTTCACATTTACTTGGTATTGTTCGCTCTCTGCCTGACACAATTATGGATGCTGCTTTCTGCCAGCTGAGACCTTTTCAAAACAATATGACTGTCTGTCATGTGTGATCCTTTATAGAACA